TAGTAGGCCGTGTGACTACCAGGGCTTCACCCCTGGGAGGGTCCAGGCAGGGTGTAACGAGCCCAGGTCTGGGCACCCCTGAGCCCAGTGCCCACGTGCTTCCAGAATGTCTGTAAACCAGCTGGTCGGCAGGGCCCTCACCACCCGGGGCCTCGTGCCTCTGCATCTGTGGGTCAGAGCTGGGTGATCACCTGGGTGACAGCCCCCCAAGTCCCTAACCTCCTGCAAGTGCCTGGCCTGACTGAGCCCTGTGTCTGAGTCCTCACCAGTGCTGCGTGCTACCCGGGCAGCATCCGCTGGTCCCCTGAGCTCACCGTCCTGTTGCCCTAGCCCGGCCCTGCCCTGGGTGAGCGGGCCTCTCCTTGGCGTGGTGGGCCTCCACCACCTAGAAGCCTGCTCGTAGCCCCTTGCCTGGCCTGCTCTTTGCCCTTTGGGCCTGTGTCTCGTGGGTCAGCTCTGCATGCAGAGCACCTGTGCCCTGGGACCTGGCCCCCCTGGACCCAGGCTCCCTTGGACCCTGGCCCTGCAGGTCTCCTCCTTGGCCCCTCTCCTTTCATCCCTGTGGCCTCAGCCAGGTTGCTGAGTCTTTGCCTCGGGGAGCTCTGGTCCCTCTTCTGGTCCTCCAGCTTGAGCCCCTCAGCTAACTACCCCCTCCAACCGGGGCCCCTGACGCCACCCCAGCTCGTGGCTCCCAGGTCACTATCCTCTGACCTCAGCCCCCTGCTCACTGGCAGCCTCTGAGATCCTTGTCGCAGGAGACACTGATCAAGAGCAGCCGTACCCTGGCTGAGCTCCTCGTTTGGCTGTGCCTTAGTTCCGGGCTTTAATCCGCTAGCTACAGGGGAGCCCCGCTGTCATGCTGAGCCCTTGCTCATTCTCACAATAACAACTGGCCTCCTGGACCACTTTAGGCTTCCTTCTGCCCTCCCATCCCCCTGTTCACCAATACAAGCTCTAGTAGCTTCTAGGAGCTCCTCAGGGCAGTCCTGTACCTGCCGGCCCGCAGCCTACAGGTGATAGCTCTGATTGCTCCCTGGAGCCCCTGGGGCTGCCCCCTGAACTCCCAGCCCTCTGCTCCTCTTCAGAAGCTCAACCTGCTCCCTGGAGCCCATTGGGCTGCCCCTGACCGCACCCCTCCGCCCTCCC